AATCAGTTAAACATTGCAGCTTTAGACATCAGGCGCTTGTCTTTGTCTCAGCAGGTAAAACACAAGTGTTACTAAAAGCACCGCGATGACACAGTTCTGTGCACCAGTTAGGTCATGACATTAAGACGCTGAAGCAGCTAAATGGCATTCAGCCACCATTCGTTTTACTGTTTAGACTGATTCTTTTCCTGCTGTGACGTGTCAGGACGTCTGCCGCGTTAAAGGTCCTTCAAGGGGAATCAGGGCTGCTTAGTGACAATACATCAGATTCCAGGAACTCTGTCTGGTTCTCAGACTGATCTACTGTCTTCCTGGAAGGTGGAAATCTACGAGAGAGGCCTGGCGGAGGACTGGAAAATTGCCGATCACAGCTGGGAAATCTTGTTTATGTTAATTAGCTTGGAAAATCAGGGGATGATAATAAAGAGATGAAGGGAAGCATGAAGGGAACAGAGGAACAAATAAGAGGATAAAGCTTGAACCCTCTGCCCGTCTGCTAGACGACTGGTAAATAAGATGCATTCTGTTCATGTCTGACGGTAAAAATAGTTTCACCTGCTTCCTGCTTTATGTCTCTTTAGGTATATCCAAGCAGCCACTTCTCCTAAAGATGTAATAATCGTGGTGGATGTAAGCGGAAGCATGAAGGGACTCCGGCTGACGATAGCCAAACACACCATCAACACAATCCTGGACACACTGGGAGAGAATGACTTTGTTAACATCATAGCTGTAAGTAAACAATCAATTACATAAAACGCAGATGCACGTGAGCAGTCCAAGACTCGGTGTGTCTAATGCCTGATGAGCGTGACATGGAGATTAACACCCTAACACACAGACACACTTAAACTCGCACACACACACACACAGGTACACAGCACAGACGGGGGTCAAACAGGCTCACGGACACAAATCAAACGTTTGGTTTTCGGCCAAGAATTTATTTTCACTTACATCGAAGCTTCAAAATTCATTTTGTTTCGAGGTTTTTCAGGATTTCGGCTACGTATAACCCTACAACTACAAATCTGTGTAATAAGCATGGTTTATCCTGGTATTACTGTGTGTGTAATCATACGCCTCCTGCAAATCCTCTGCCCTTAAGCTGTTTTTTTTTTTTACACCGAATTTAAAGCTACGCTCCTTTTCGGCAGAGTGGCCACGCGGTGAAATGAAAATCAGCGCTTTAGTTTTATCTTTAAAAAAGATGTGTGCACATTTTTGTGATAGAAAAAGTGATTTGGCTTTGACCTTGATTTTAATCATCTTTGACTTTCGTACCAGAATAATAAAACTTTCAGGAATATGAAAAACACATCAACATGTCTTCCTTTTACAAGAAAATCCATTTTAAAATGTGCATGTACGAGCACTCTAGAGAGTAATAACACGTGTACTATGGATGTCACATTAATGCAGCAGCTTCAGTACAGCTTTAGCTTTGTCACCTTGTGTAAATGTTAATCATGTTTCCTCTTTATCACACTGACTACATTGGCTCTTATAATTAGTTTTCTCTCCCTCCAGTACAGTGACTACGTTCGCTACGTGGAGCCCTGCTTCAAGGGAACGCTAGTCCAGGCCGATCTGGATAACAGAGAGGTAATGTGCACACTTGAAGGGCACATGCACGGAGGCTCAGGCTAATTAATTCAATTAACCTGGACTTACCTATCGCTCATAAGCTATCTTGCTAATCTCCTGAAGACCAAGATTACGCTGTCATCACATCACAGATAAAACACGGCAGTGAGTCCTTCAAAGATCAGGGTTTCCACCTGTTCTTAGAAGGATTTATGCAACTGAAACCCAGAAATACAGATATTTTTCCTGTCTTTTTCATTTCTGCATCCCCTCCTCGCTGCCGTCTTCTCTTCTCTTCTCTTCTCTTCTCTTCTCTTCTCTTCTCTTCTCTTCTCTTCTCTTCTCTTCTCTTCTCTTCTACTCACATGTACACCACCCATATTATCTCATTGTTCCACTGCTGCTTTCGTTTCTGTTTTTCCCCCTCTTCATCTGTTCTACTATTTTATATATTTATATATATATCCCAACACCTGCTCAGCCTTTGTGTGTGTTCATGGCTTGGCTGTATGCCCTACTTTCACTCCCCTCCACATTACTGTGGATCAGGTGAGGTCGCTGGCCGCTGTACAATTTTAAGTAGGTCATGTGACCTTTATGCAAGAGATTTGATTGGTTGACTGCCTGGATAGGCAGGCCGTAACAGAATGGGTTTACAGATGTTGGCTGACACACTTGTGCATAAAGTCGAATAGGAACACACGCATTTACAGGAGGACAAGCACCAGTTTAGTGGCTGTTATATAAGACTTCCTACATGTTTCTGCACAGAGTTTCAGCCTTTCCTAAGTAAAATCTCCAGCACCGAAATGATCGGAATTGTGACTAAATATATATTTATCCAGTTTTGTTTGATGCAGTTTCATTTATTTAAATATATTAGATATTTTTGTTTATCAAATGGTCACAAATAAACAGAAAATCTGATTTAGTTTCCAAAATCGTAAAAGAAGCCGATGTTTTTGTGTCTGTGTGTTTTTTTAAAGTCCTATCAGTTCGTCTTATTGAATCAGTTTTGTCAACTATTGGACAGGTTGTTTGGTGACAGTGGGTCTGAGAGGGGACACCAGTGGGCCTAAACAGAGACTGCAGATAAGATGTAGTTTCCCAGCAAACAAATTCATGTGTTGAACATTTCATGATTTTTGTTTAATGTATTTTGCAGTTTAAAAATATCTAAAAAGTCAGAGCACATTTTGCAAATTCCTGAAAATCTGTGTTATGTTTGAGTATCAGAGTATAAAACATTACAGTCGTCTTGTACTTGAAAAATTCTGTTAAGAGCCCCAGGTTTGTCTCCAGCCAACACAACAATGTGGCCATTTATCATTGTGCAGGTGTGTTTGTGCGTGTGTGCGTGTGTTCATTAGTTCTGATTACCTCCTGGTGTTGTAGTAACTGCGCCATAATTGGTCAGCGTGCCAGAATAATCCCTCCACTACACTCTCTCCCTGATAATCCCTGTCTCCCTCTTTTACTGTGGTGACCGATTGACCTGCATTTATCAAAAACAACAGTGTGTTCGTGGCTGCGTTTAATGCTTTATTTGTATTTGTGCGCATCTGCAGCATTTCAAGCTTTTGGTGGAAGAGCTTCACGTCAAAGGAGAAGGCAAAGTGAAAAATGCAATGATGGAGTCTTTTAAGATCCTGAATGAGGTTTGTATTTCTCTGTAACAACCAAAGCAGCTACTACATTTAGATATTAACGATGTGCAGAATTGTGAGCCGTGAAAGAGTACAAATCCTTTCTTAAGCACAAATGTCACTGTTGAGTAAATTGTGTGCGTGTTCAGGCTGCCGCTCTGGGGCAGGGCAGCCTGTGTAACCAGGCCATCATGCTGATAACAGACGGAGCCATGGAGGATTTCCAGGAGGTTTTTGAGAAGTTTAACTGGCCAGAACGACGGGTACGACACACACAGACACATACGCACCAGCATGGACCAGCTTTTGTAAAATGTGTTTTAATAATAACAATTAGATTTACATCGTGTTTTTTTAACTCAAGGAGTAACTCAAAGACGCTTTACACTGTCAATTATTCATTCACACACATTCATTCCGGTGGTGGTAGCTACGGTTGTAGCCACAGCTGCCCTGGGGCAGACTGACAGAGGCGTGGCTGCTATTCTGCGCCTATGGCCCATTAATACGCATTCACACCAGGCAAGGTGGGTGAAATGTCTTGCCCAAGGACACAACGACCATGACACAGGTTACAGGAATCATACCGCCAACCTTCCGATCATTGACCGACCCGCTCTGCCACCTGAGCCACAGTCACCCAATATGTGTGTGTCTTGTCATGCACTTTATTCTCTTCCCAGGTTCGAGTGTTCACCTATCTCATTGGACGCGAGATGACATTTGCAGAAAATGTGAAATGGATCGCCTGCAACAACAAGGGTACAAACCAAATGTGTTTCATTGTGGTTACATTAAATGCCTATTAAACCCTCACAATTCAGACAGAGTCACTTCAGCAACAAGAAATAGAGCAATGGATGCAGAAACTGCTACAACAACAACTCCTGTCTGAGTCTTAAATAAAACTCCCCCCATCTTGTTTTTCTGTGCGGGATAAGAGGTGCTTCGGCCCTGTGGTGATCCCAGGTGGTGCTGTGTGTGAAACTGGGTATCAGGTGCTGCCCTCTTGTGAATTACATGGGGTCATGCAGCAGCTCAGACCTGAAAATAATCCTGCTCTAAGCGCACACAAAACCCCTGACTAAATAACCGATTATCAGCACAGATACCCTGTAAACACACTCCTGGCCAAAAATGTCATATTTGTGTGTGTAATGGGTAACAGGTGCACTCCCTTCTGTTGCGTACACTGGCAGTTGTCTCTGCCAGCAACAAAATATCTGTCATAAACAGATATTTAGTCATCTGTCATAAACAGATATTCAGTAGCTGGTTTTCGCAAACAACTCCTGCAAAAACTGCCCTTCAATTTCAGTTGGAGGAAGACACGTCTGCTTAATAATATTTGCGCCAGCGCTCTTGGGAGATGCTACAAACAGAGAAAGGTTGCACACATTCACACATTCACGCCTGGCAGTGCTTCAGTAGCCTGTTGTCACTGAGCAGCTTCACTGCAGGTATGCTATTGACGTCATTGTCTCCCACTTGTAGAAATGCCATAAACCTTAGACTAAGCCAAGCTTTAAAGAATGTCAGAGACACGTTTGAATCAGTGGGAGATTCAAGCTGTTTTTTCATTAAAAACAGCCCAGTGTTTTCAAAATACAAGATGTTCTGATGTCTGATAAATGAGTTTATTGCTATTAATGTAATACCCAAAGGCAGAAAAGGTAAAAATAATACAGTGAACAATTTATTTTTTGAAATTTATGGGTCCTAGATTTTCCATCTGAGTAATTTTTAATATATGGTATGAATGTATGTGTGTGTTCTGCAGGTTACTACACACACATCTCCACGCTGGCCGACGTCCAGGAAAATGTTATGGAGTACCTCCATGTCCTCAGCCGGCCAATGGTCATCAACCACGATCACGATATCATCTGGACAGAGGCTTATATGGACAGTGTGGTCAGTCTGCATCTCTCGTTATTGCTTGGCAACATGCGCTAACGACCCGCATCAGCATCATCTGGCATATTTAATCAAAGTGTCACATTGCGATAAACATTCAAACACACTCTATTATCTCTGTGCCTTTTTCTGTGGTGCTGAAACCTTCAAAAAACCTCTTTTATCCAAATCACACAAAGCACACAGACTACCATAGCAACCATGCAACGACCAAAAATGTACCAATTGTTCAAGAAGCAGCAGCAACAACTTCGTAGCCACTCAGCAAAGGCTAACTCACAGCGGACAGGACCTCATCAGTGACCTGAATACGCTCTTCTGCTGATGTGAACATCTTGTAAATGCATTTAACCTACTTTTTCACACCATTTTTCCAGACAAGAAAAGAAACAGCATCGCAACCAACCAAGCAACAATGACTCATTACCAGTGTCCATTAACACTAAAAGATGTGTCTAGCAAAAAGCATGGGGCAAGTTATTCAAAAAATGACTTATTATTCAGTACTTACCTAAAAACAGTTTAATTACTTACTTATTAATTTGGATCGCTAATCTGCATCCCTCATCTCAGTTACGATAGTTACTACTGAAGCAGCCCAACACTGTTAAAAGTCAATAAAAAACGTCTTATATTAACAGATTAAACCAGAAACACACTAAAATTACAACTTGGTGACAACTCATAAGACTGCAGTAATAAGCCAGTATTAACTTTAATGATATCACAGTAGTAACAACACAGTAATAACACAGTCCGAACACAGAAATTAGTTTCTTATTTAAGCAAAAAACATCTAAACCAACATGATGACAGACCAAAACAAACAAAATATCACTTAATTAGAAAACAAAAGTTGATACACACAAAAATAAACAATAGGGTTTAAATGTACATTTAGAAACTGAATATAATTATTAATTAATAATTAATATTTTTTGTCATTGTTACTAACCGGACTAGCTTTCTCAATTAATACTTAATAATAAAATAATTAATGTTTAATGTTCTTATATGTTTCTTTTTGTTTATTTGTTGTTGTTTTTTAACAAGTTACAGAACAACTACTATCGATTGAGCATTTTGTTTTCATCCAGTACAAAATATCTGACCTGGAAAGTTGTATGTCCAGTTAGTGCAAGTACAACATTGATTAGGTAGCAGTTCTATTCTTTGCATACTGCACACAAACCGTCTACACAATATTTTTTGTGACTGTATCCTCTGTTTCCAGTTATCACTCCATCTTTACCTGTCATTTCTCCATCTTTTGTTTCAGTATCATGTTGCATATCTCGCCATTTCACGCTTGTTGTTTCTCCTCTCCTCCATCTCCACTTTCAGTTTCCAAATAAAGACGAGGTAATCATGTGTGGAGCTTTAGCTGCTGTACTTGTTTATAAAGGAATGTTAGTCACATAAAATACGATGAGTAGTATGCAGAATGGGTTTGGGTATCATTAAATAATCTGAAATATGAAAAAATAATAATAATAAAACAAATTTTCTTCTTTGTTCCAAAACCCAAAACAGCAGCAATGTTTAGGCTGATTAAACAACAATTTTGGGGGAATTTTCTTGATTCTTTTGAAAAATTGGAGTATTTTTAAAAATTTGGTTGAAGCACGATGCATGATGTAATTTTTCTTTTTTTAAAAAAAAAAAAAAGGCCACATGACTTTGGTTAATGTTTTTCAGATAAATGAAGGATTTTTAAAAAAGAAATTATTTAAAAAAAAAAAAAAGTAATTCTGTTTTAAAACAAAGAACAGCCATTATTGTATTTACAGATTATCAGATGACACCCAGACCATAATGTCTTTCTTGGCTTTTTATTTACAGTCAGCAGTTTTTAGCGTTCCCTGGTAGTTTCTCGTTAGTCTAACTTCTCACCGTTTGCTAATGCTAACGTTCGCTCATCCTCTAGACAGCTAGCTAGCCTAGCATGGTCCATCTGTCCATTGCTTGACATTTTGCTGCTTTGAAATTGCTCTGTTAACTTTATTCTATTTTTTCAACATGTCTTCACTACTTCCCAAACTATATAGCTTGTGGCGTTGCTGTCACCACTAATTCTCTTCCTGTCCCACCCCGTGTAAACGCCTGCTATGTTCATTTACACTCTTTTATTTGTCCATAATCTCATGAATGTAGCTTTTAAACAGAAAAGAGTCGAATGTAAGCGTGTTTTTGTGTGTGAAACAGCTGTTCAACACTCAGGCACAGAGCCTGCTCCTCATGACCTCAGTAGCCATGCCGGTGTTCAGCAAGAAGCAGGAGACCGTGAGTGTTCATGTTTTATCACCATGAATGCCATTATCCAGCAGATGTCACCTGAAATACTGTATTTGTGCCATATTTGTGCATGAATTGCTTTTTCTTCTCTGTAATATGTTTGAATAAGCTCCTATTTTTAAAGTATTAGCTAGAAAAGACATGGGATTGAAATGTGGAATGCTATATTTTTCAATCTTCTAACCTCATGTCAGAGTATTTTGAATTTTCTTTGAGTTAATTGCCCAAACCAGACTAAGTAAATCTCGTCATAATATCACTGTCGTCTGTATTCTTTGTTTGTGACTTTATGAACCTTCCTGTAGCTGTCTCATGGGATTCTACTGGGAGTCGTAGGAACTGACGTGGCCTTGAAAGAGCTGATGAGATTAGCTCCGAGATACAAGGTGAACCATCTGCACTGTGTCAAAAACAGATCAGGCTGAGATCTGCCTTCGCTTCATTACTTTATAATGTAATGTTAATTATTGTGGGCCCACTTGTTCAGAAGCAATCTGATCAGCTTTCAGATTTGGATCAGATCTTAAACAAATAAAGGAAAGGGATTCTGAAATAAGATTTGGTCTCGTAATCAAGTCCTGGTTTCTCTATCAAACCTTTAGTATGTGTTCAAAACATCATTGCGCTGAGATACCTGCTGCCCAAAACAAAAAAATCAGGATTTCACCATTTGACTTTTTAGGATTTAAAATATGTGTTTCCCCATGCTGGCTGTTGTTTTTGTACATAGCTCGTAGTCTACGTTGTGATACGTCGTCCCTTGTAGGGCACTGGTAATCTGGATTTGGTAATCTTGAAAGTTTCTATCTGGATCAGGTTGTTCTAATTCATTGTTGGTATGAAAGAAAAAAAAAATGGCACCAAAGTACAATGGATTACCTGAATGTAAAAATGTGGGATCTCCAAATGCGGATCATTCTTATCCAGATTAAACTTTTTGAACAACTGGGCCCAGATGTTAGAGCTTTGGATTCTGTCCTAATGTAAGGAATTGCTCTCTCATCTTTTTCTAGCTGGGTGTCCATGGTTACGCCTACCTCATCACCAATAACGGCTACATCCTCTCTCATCCCGACCTGCGACCTCTGGTACAGACAAAGACGTCATATTACACAATGAATTATCGCAGCTGAGAAACTGAGTTTAGAAATATATTGCAGTGAAGCAAGCACAATAAAAAAGTGTGTTTTTTTTCGTTGTGTTTTTGTGTGTGTGTGTGACAGTATAAAGAGGGGAAGAAACTGAAGCCTAAACCCAACTACAACAGTGTCGATCTGTCAGAGGTGGAATGGGAAGACACTGAGGAGAAAGTAAGTCACACAAACTGGCACACATTTTCTTTTTTTCAATTCTCTGTTTCCTTTTTCACTGTATGTCAGTAAGTCTCCACAGATGATCTAGCGAAGCTCTTGAAGTGCTGAATGTGTGATGTCTGTTTCAGCTGAGGACAGCCATGGTTAAAGGAGAAACCGGAACGCTGTCGTTAGACGTGAGAACTTCAGTAGATAAAGGAGTAAGTTTTCTTTTTCCTTTGAGGTGACAGGTTGTCTTTGTGTCTTTGTATTTCTTATCTTCTGAGAACAAGACGCCTTTCTTTCTCTTAGTGATCATTTTGATGGACTCTGTCCCTCTCTTACAGACAAGAGTGATGTTTTTGAGGAATGAATACTTTTACACTGTCATCAATGAGACACCGTTCAGGTTTGTCATCCTCGTTTTCAACTTTGCACAATTTCTTCAAGTTTTTAAACCTCATGTCCATCATAGCCAACAATCCTACACCTCTGCCTGTATGAACATCATTATAATCCATAATGTCCTTTCTAATATTCAGTGTGGCCTCCTCTGTTACTCAGAGTAACTAATACGCACCATTAGAAATATTTATGAGCCCGAGAGCAGCTATTATGAACACGATCCATTCCTGATGACAACATTCCTAAAGTTCTAGGAAGTAAAATAATGTCGTCCCCTCTGTGTTGACAGCCTCGGTATCGTGTTGAGTCGGGGATACGGACAGTATATCTTCATAGGAAATGTCTCGGTTGAGGAGGGTAAGTCTTCTCTCTGTACTTGTGTCTGCTGCTCTTACCTTTCCATCACTCATGTCTTGTTTTGCGTTATTTTTCCTCAGGTCTCCATGACTTGCTGGCTCCAGATCTGACTATAGCCACCGAGTGGTGAGTTTAACTGACAGAATACACATCACACATGCAACAGCTTGTAGTTCTTCAGATAAATAATAGTTTATTCTCATCTGTTGTTATGTGTTTGTGCTTGTAGGACTTATTGTGAGACAGACATTGACCCAGCACATCGCAAGCTGAGCCAGCTCCAAGCTGTGGTACAATATCTCACTGGCAAAGAACCAGATCTGGAGTGTAAGTAGAGACTCAATGGCAGGAATATTATCTGTGAAGTTTGAATATTATGGGTAAATTCTACATATTTACAAGCAAACTACAAATCAAACAGCAAATATGACATTTCTTTATCTGTATTTGCTATCTTTTCAGTTTCTATTTATTACTAGTAATATGTGATTTATGTTTTTTTTCCTCATTAACAGGTGATGTGGAGTTGCTGCAACAAACTCTATTTGACGCTGTGGTTACGGCTCCTATGGAAGCTTACTGGACCGCCCTGATGCTCAACACATCCGGGTGAATATAAACACACATGCATTCCCAAATGAATGTTTGCCATTTTGTTTTTACCAGTATTTACCTAGTCTCTGTCTATGTGCTCCACCTCAGCATGGATGACGGAGTAGAAACAGCTTTCCTGGGGACCCGCTCAGGCTTGATGAGATTCCAGAGGTACACCGGTATTGAGAAGAGAGTTGGCAAGTGAGTGAGAAAACAGTCATTCATTTACATCCGACACTGCCATGTCAACTTAATCTTGGTATTATCTCCAAAAAACAACTACAAACTGGGGGCAAAAAAAAAAAGTAGTGTGTAAAAATAGTTTGTTTCAGACTGATGGCAATTAAGGAACTGAATTGAAGATGACATGACGCCCTCTGGTGGTCAATTAAAGGCCAAACTTGGTGTTTGATGTCACGACACAATAAAAAGTCATTTGTTTTAGGAAACGTTTGCTCTAAAGAACACCAGTAGAATCACTTAAGGCAACTAATTAATAAAAGTCTCATACAAAACAGTTAAGGCCATCCTCACACTTTGATTTAATTTGTGTCCACATTTAGACATGTAATTTTTGAGATGTGACAGCTGTAACCACGCTGACAGTGCTCCCATAATTTAAGAAAAATCCCATTTATATTGTCATCGTAATCAGTAATCTTTATACTCCAGGAGGATGATACACTATAAATAAATCTACATTTATTAAACTATATTTTCTGTCAGTGAATCCTCACTTAAGGTGGATTAGCAACTGATCAGTGTAGGGTTTTTGATTTTATTTTTTACATTCCTGTCATTTAACCTGTTTCCACAATAATATCTTGCTTCCTCTTTTACATTTTCATCAAAACCTTTAGCTCCTCCGTCATCATACTACCCATCCTTCCTCCCTTCTTTATCATTTAAGAAGTAGGTTGTTCTTTAAGCTTATTTCCGTCTCTCCCCAGGTCTTTCCTGACCTCCAAAGACAAGGAGAATATGTTCACGTTGGATCATTTCCCAGTGTGGTACCGCAGAGCAGCTGAGTACCCAGCTGGACAGTTTCTATACTACATGCCCAGACAGGAGACGAGAGGTAGAGGACATACCCTTACTTAGCAAACACACACAAATGTACACTCACACCCACAGAAAACACTATTTGTGCTTTTTTTTATTTACGATTTTCTTAACCATGTGTAGCAGGTTGAGCCAATAGTCTCCCAGTAACGCTCATCTCTCCACAGTTCAGCAGGCGTTCTCCTTTCTGTTGACCTCATCGTGTATTTCTGTGGTTTGCATCAATCATCTTTGAAACGACTAGAAAATGTGTTTTTAATGGGGCTGCTCTCCCAGAAAGTCAATCAGGCTTAATAGATGGTTTATCCTTCATCCTCGTTCTGTAGTTTTTGTGGGAATCACACAATAATCATCAGCTCCAGAGTGAGAAAGTGAACAGCTACTGCCATCATGTTTATCATCACATCACACTAACTCCATCTTTAATTGTAGTCGAGATATGAAAGTCAGCGCGCCGCCCTTCTCTGCCTCTGGATTTAATTTTCTTTTTTAGCTCTGCCGGATTGAAGTGTATTTTCAAAGAGGTTTAAAAAAACATGTTTTCCACAGAGAGCTTTAGACCGCAACAGAGGAGAGGAATTCAAATTTAATCTTTGCTACAAAGCGCAGAGTTAAATGTGTTTACATTGAAAAACAGTCTGTTCTGTGAATTTGAAGCTGATAAGACGGCTTTCCTTTGGACAGAAAACAGGGTTTGTGTACGTATCTACATGCTCACGTACCTTTGAGATACAGATTATATTTAGTTTACAGTGTTCCCGAAGGACTTTGAAGTTACACTGGGCGACATATTGTTTCAGCATCGACTTTGTAACGGGAGAATGTTACACTGCAGGAGTCTTTGCTGTCTTTGTTTACAAGGTGCAGAGCTTATTAATATGCAGGGTCTGAATGTTCATAGTGCAATGAGCAAGTAACAGGAGTGAAAAAAGGAGGAAAATGAAATGCAATGTCAGTTGTTGGGTTGCATGAGAGCAGGAACGACAGCAACACTGAAGTTTAAAATACTCACAGAAAAGAACTCATGTAGAAAAAAACACTTTGTAAACGCTTTCTAATTCTGACATTAAAGCAACTAGACAACACTTTTCAAATACATTTTTGGTCCACACCTGTCTGAGTTGCTGCACTGCTGTCTGGC